GAGAGAGAGAGAGAGAGAGAGAGAGAGAGAGAGAGAACCAGCCATGAATCTTTCCTATTTTGTGAGTAGATTACGCAGTCCTCTTATCTTTTTCTTCTTCTTTTTTTAATTAAAAGATTAAAGTAAGAATATACTTATTAACTCACTAACTTTGATAACTCATCAGTAAGATTAGTAATCAGACTGTTTCATTGTTGTTTCTCCAATTTTTAAACAGTCCTATGTCCTAAGAATTCCAAATATTTCGTTTTGAGAAGAAATTTCTCTCTCTGGCAAGAGATCAATCTTGTTCAATGGACTGAAACTCCTCAAGCATATAGTTTCTTCAGAAACCAGGAACTCTCTGAAATTTCCAATGGAAAATTTTTATGGAAACCTGAGAAAGCTAATGAATAAAATCTACACCACTTCTGGCTTACTTCCCTGGCTCTGCGAGAAGATTCGTTGAATCCTGTTTTTAACAAATTCTTCCACTAATGGTCGGCTGTTCAGTGTATCGCGCTCTCTCTCTCTCTCTCTCTCTCTCTCTCTGCAGGTACACAAAATCACCTTCAAGTCAAATCTACGATGCTTCCGTTTCTTCCGCTGGACCATCCTGGTGCCCCCTGTCATCTATTTGTCGCTGCTCGTCTTCAAGTACAAGAGGGACACGCCCCTGAGGAGCCACACGTCCACCATTGCCGAGCAAGATGGCAAGGGTGTGGCAATGGAGAATCTTTTCATGGAACTGGAGGCGGTGACGGCCGACAAAAGTGATCTGGAGCATTACAAAGAGATTGATCGAAACATCAAGGACGTGGAGGAAGCGGAGAACCAGGAGAACCCGCGAACCTTGCTAGAGAACATATTTCAAAGAGCTGACACGAACCAGGACCGATTGTTGGACATGCAGGAGTTGGCCAAGTGGATCCACACGAAGATCACGGAGCACATCAGCCGGGCTATGAAAGAGAACGTTGGCTTATTTACTGCAATAGACAACAACCCACGAAACGGTGAGCAATTCTTCCATTGATTTCCAATCTGTTTCCAGCAGTTTCTTTTAATTAATTGAATTAATAGAATTTGAAGAGATGATGCTATGGAGAAAACTATATTTAAGAAACATTAGAATTAAAAT